TCCCCATGAGGCTGGGACCCCCAAAAATGGGGCTGGGACCCCCAGAGACCCCTCCCCGTGGACCCAGGTATGACAAAAAGAGACAAATCTCCAGGAAAACTCTCCTTGGAAAACACCAAAACCCCCCGGGGGCCACAAAACCCCCCGGGGGCCACCAAAACCCCCCGGGGGCCACCAAAACCCCCCCGGGTTGGCAAGCGGGACGTGGCCACCACTAGCCCAGGTGGGACTTTTGCTGGACTTTGGTGGCCACAGCAGCAGTCTGTGCCAGGGGAGGTTCCAGCGCTCCTCAGCCAGGCTGGCACCGTGCTTTGGGGGTCCTTGGCACCCTGGCACGGGTGGCAAGTGGGATGTGGCCACCACTAGCCAAAGTGGGGTTCATCTGCTGGACTTTGGTGGCCACAGCAGCAGCAGAAGTCTGTGCCAGGGAGGGTTCCAGCGCTCCTCAGCCGGGCTGGCACCGAGTCAGTGCCAGGGATTTGGGGGTTCTTGATGCCCTGGCACGGGTGGCAACCAGGATGTGGCCACCACTAGCCAAAGTGCGGCTCGTCTGCTGAAGTTTGGTGGCCACAACAACAAGAGAAGTCTGTGCCAGGGGAGGTTCCAGCGCTCCTCAGCCGGGCTGGCACCATCCCGGGGTCCCTGGCACTTTGGCACGGGTGGCAATCGGCATGTGGCCACCACTAGCCCAGGTGGGGTTCATCTTCTGGACTTTGGTGGCCACAGCAGCAGCAGAAGTCTGTGCCAGGGAAGGTTCCAGTGCTCCTCAGCCGGGCTGGCACCGTCCCCGTGCCAGGGATTTGGGGCTCCCTGCCGTCCTCACAGCCTGGCACGGGCGGCAAGCGGGACGTGGCCACCACTGGCCCAGGTGGGGCTCGTCTGCTGGACTTTGGTGGCCACACCAACGAGAGAAGTCTGTGCCAGGGGAGGTTCCGGCGCTCCCCAGCCGGGCTGGCACCGTCCCGGGTCCCTGGAGCCTGGCACGGCGGGCAGCCGGGTCAGTAGAAGTGCTTGCGGCTCTGCTCCTGCCACTTGGTGTAGAGGATGATGCCGATGACGATGGCGAAGACGAAGGCCACCAGCGAGAAGAAGACGATGAGGAACAGGGCCAGGCCGCTCATGGGCTCCAGCGGCGCCTCCACTGCGGGGATTTGGGGTTTGGGGTTTGGG